GCCCGGGGGGCGGGAGGCCGGCTGCAGCGAACGCTGCGCGGGAGCGAAGCCGCGTGCAGACTCTGCGGCACGCCTTCCTGGAGCTGCAGCGCACGCTGCCGTCGGTGCCGCCGGACACCAAGCTGTCCAAGCTGGACGTGCTGCTGCTGGCCACCACCTACATTGCTCACCTCACCCGCAGCCTGCAAGACGACGCCGAGGCGCCGGCGGACGCTGGGCTGGGCGCCCTGCGCGGCGACGGCTACCTACACCCTGTCAAGGTAGGCAGGCAGGGCGGCCTGCGGAGCTGGGCCGGGGAGCTGGGCACCTTAACCCTCCGGGTCGGCCACCGCTTGAGCAGATGCCGCGGAGCTCTCACTCCTCCCTCGGGGTGAGACGGGGAACGGATCCGGAGAGCGACCTTGGCCCGCAAGGGCACCGGTAGCGAGGTCCCCACTGCAAAAGGCTACTCCGTAACTGTTCCCAGGTAGTGGATTTAAACCCGAAGTGGCTTGGGTCGTAGAGGTGTCCTACTCCACTTACAGGATGCAGCCTGCATGATGCCTTTCCTAGGTGAGAGGTTTCTTGGGAGTGCCTGTTGGGGTTTTTGGCAAGTTCTAGTGATTTTTAGTATCAGATTTACATTTATGAGCCTTTGAGAGTTTTAAATTTACATAATTACATTTCCATCGTGGTTTTTATCAGATGGTTGAAAAGTTTCACGAATTAAAGGGGGTGATGGAATTATCGCCCCTTAAATAATCCAGGAAACCATGTTGAAATTTTTTTGTAAAACTGGTTAAGAACAAAGTGAGACGGTTCTGCCATTCTGCGGAGTAAATTTTCAGTCCGTTTTAATAAAGGTTAATTATCATGGATTAGGCAGTTACCTAGAATGTTAGAAAAACTATAATGTATTTATGTAATTTTCACAATAGAATAGACTGGGGTATGTTAATCAAGCCGATTCCATACTATATTAAAATTCTGTAATGTGCAAAATTAGCCCCTAGAATCCGTTTTGTAGAATTTATTACATTACATGTAGGTAAAATGGTCAGGGTTTTCATTTAGCATGGTGTATACGGTTATGATTTATTACTTATATTGCAGTGTTTAGACTCTGCATTGTCCTTCTTGCCTAGATTTGATTGTTTCAAAATCCAGCATTTATCTGGCTTTCTGTTCAAAATGCATTATTTTCCCTGTATTTTCTAAACCTAAATTTTCAAATTTTTGGTTCTACCATTCTCAAATATTTTGCCACACATATAAATACAAAATCAGGACTTAGCCTTAAGCATATTAGTGTTCAATAAATTATTGAATAACCATCATTGAAATGTAGTAAAGTACACTCTAATATTAACTGAAACTAAAATTCTGTGGTGAGGTTTAACAGTTTACTTTGCAAATATAATCAACATGATGATAGCTGCAAGCTATTTTGAATATAGAAATTTGGACTATCATTTGTTTATAATTATGATAGACCTCATTATATCTTTGTGCTATATAATATTATCTCTGCTGAAAAGTCATTCATTATTAATTAGGGGTTTTGCTCTACAGTCTGCATTAGATTGATATTCAAATATATCATTAATATTAGATTTCTTTTGACTTGACATTTCTCATATACTCTAAAAAAGTTAACATTAAGTAGACTTTAATACAGAAAGCATCTGTCAAATGCCTCTGTAGGAGATACGATTGAGATAAGAAATCAAATTGTTTTCACCTTTGTTTCTTATAGTATCTTTTTGAATAAATACTGTTAATAATGTTCATGTAAAAATAAGCTTAACAGGAGTTTTTTGTTTTTTGTACTTGATTCAGGCACCAAATGTTTTTGTAGTCTAATAACAACTTTAAGAAAAATTAAATCTCATTTGTCCTCAAATCAATTGTTTTGATTTTAAAAGACAATTCTAGGGATAATGAAACAAGGCCAAAGATTACCTCTTTAAAATGAAATTGATGATGGTTGAACAAGTGACTAGTCTGTTTTAAAATCATTTACTGAGTGTCTACTGTGTGCAAAGCACTGTTAGGAGAGTGGATACAATTAAGAGTAAGACTCAATCCCTGCCCTAAATTAATATATAATAGAGACAAATACAAAAATAAAATAATGTACTGTAAGGGATAATGTTCTGTGTACATAAGAGAGCTATAACCATGTGCTTTTGGAGGTTTAGAGGAAAGATTTCATACGCGTAATTGAAACCACCTGTAACACATTATTTTACGGATATTACCAAATGCTTAAGTATTAAGTCTATCTTTGATAAATCTAATGCAAAAGAAATAAAAATATTCTGATCATACTAATTTTTAGTTAACTAAGGGTGTTGTAACCCATAGTTAAAAAGTGTTCCAAGATGACTTTTTTTTCCTGCCTTACAACATAGTATTACTATGTCTTTGATGATTAAAGATCTGTTAACAAATATTTCAAGGCCATGATTTTGAGTCATCAGTCCTTATTTTCTGTATTG